TAATTTATTGATCCCTTTCTCATAATTTTCAAGACAACTTTTTTTGTTTATTCATGTGATACCCTGCATGATATTCTTATCTGAATAACTTCTTGTTTCGCACTACCAATTAGGTCGAATCTAGATTAAATCGTCCTGTGGAAGTAGATTTTTCTTCCTGGATTACTTTTGGTTATATTCGGTTAAGTTTATTTGCCAGTGAGAAAGCAACTGAAAGTTATTTGGATAGTATAAAATACTTGTTGTCTTTAACTTTCGAACACAGATATTTCTGGACACACAACGCTCAAATTTCGATGGTAAGCCTTGAACACTATTACTGATTAGTTTAGTTAAAAAATTCTGGTTTCTGTGACTAAGGGACAATTGGTCAAAAAATGGCACACCTGTCCCTTTAAGTTAAATGAAACTTGAAAAAAAAAAAAAATGAATATAGATTCTTGTTAAAGAGACACTATAGACATTGAATTATTAAAAGCTTACCCTGTTTAGCTGTGAAAAACATAAAATAAAAGAGGAATTGTGTAAATTTGTATGATCAAAGTGTCCTTAAAGAGTTTCCTTAAACATGAAACAGGTCTCTTGTATAGATAGAAGAAAACAACACTGCTTTTTCTAAAAAAATAACCTTTCTCTACTGATTGGTTGCCATTATCAGATTTAACAGTTTCTGCATTGGCTTGGGGTGATCCAGGCAAATATGTGATGGATGATTTGGTGTTTTTCTCAGTCGACGGTTGAGTGGTTATAGAAGTAACATTGGTCACAATTTTGATGGGTTTTTCAGATGGTGCACCTGGTAATTTTTTAGTACTTCCTGTAGTTGATTTTGATGTAACAAATGAAGTTAATTTGTCAGGCTGAGATGTAGATGTGACAAGATGTGATGACGTAGCAGCAGACATAAGTTTGGTTGTTATGGGAACAAGAGATGATTGCATGCTTGAAGAAGATGTTGATGATTTAGTTGTGATAATCATACGACTTGTGTATGTCCCTGTTGATTTGGTAGTTACACTAGGTGTTGATGATGTACCTACAGTCATGGTGAATGAATGATCAGTGACATAAACATGAGTTTATTTGGATAGTTGGGATGCAATGTGTTAGTGAAAAGTTCAAAATGCACTAATTCTTAAGAGTAAAGAGAGTTATTCTTGATCAATGTCTGATGTCCTGGCCATGCTTAAACTGTACAAAACTGTCACAGTCAATGACGTAATGTAACTTTATTATGTCTAGATTAGTCAGTAAATGTTTGGTTAGTAATACAGGAAAATTAGTTCAAACCTATGATTCATGATATGTAGTCAATTGATAAGAAACAATAATAAGATTTCATGTGCTAGAATACTCTGTCCAAAATAAATAGCTAATGTCAGACTTTTAACAAAAGTACAGAACAAACATATTGTACAAATTGCACAATAAAACCCATCAAAGACATACTATGCACAATTCTCTGTGTTACATCAATAATGCTCATGGAAATCATGATGAAAATTGCAGTGTAACTCTCGAATAATTGGAACAAGTCTATCTGATTTTCAAAAATAAGAACTAGGCTAAGGCTCAAACATGCAACATTCATGCAGAACAAATAAGCAATGTAAGTATAATCAAACATAATATATATGTATATAATAAATATTGCTGTGACTCAGTGAGGCTTAAGAATGTAAAAGATTAATTTGCAAAGAATATTTCAAGGAAATCATTAGATATGTGGACTTTGGTAAATATTTGACAAACCCAGTGGCACAGGGATGCCAAATGTTCTGATATAGGGGCTGTACCTTAACATGTCACAATGCTATTAGTAAGGGAGTAAAAATTACATGTTTTTGTACTTGACTCAAGAGCCAAATGGTGACAGAATACATATCAGTAATTCACAATTCACTGATCTCCTTAAGCATTCAATTAAACCAGATAAATAAAATATATATTTACCTTCAACTGGATCTGGACAAGTTAAATCTTGTTTATTCTAAAACATAAAAAAAAGGCTATTTTTTTTTTTCATTTTATATGGATAGTAACCAGGTCCGAGGTTTTTACCAACATGTTACTTCCCTTGTTTTAATGATTGTTTGTAAGGGGTGATGTCCATCTATTATTGACTGATATGGATAGATATGGAAACACTTATCTATAGCACGATTGACGAATATGGACAGGCCAATTTACAACACAACAGATATGCACATGTCAATCTATAATGGGATTTACAGATATTAACAAACCAATCTACAATGGGATTGACAGATATTGACAGATACACACAGATGTCAATCTACAATGCAATTGGCAGATATTCACAGGCTAATCTGTGATGTGATTGACAGATATTAACAGGCAAATCTAAATGGGATAGACAGATACAATGTAATATTGTTATTAATAGGCCGATCTGTAATGTGATTGAAAGATATTATCAGGCCAATCTAATGCATGATTAACCAATACTGACAGGCCAATCTGTAATGGGATTGACATGTATTATCAGGCCAATCTAAAGCATGATTGACAAATACTGACAGGCCAATCTGTAATGTGATTGACAGATATTATCAGGCCAATCTAAAGCATGATTGACAAATACTGACAGGCCAATCTGTAATGTGATTGACAGATATTATCAGGCCAATCTAAAGCATGATTGACAAATACTGACAGGCCAATCTGTAATGTGCTTGACAGATATTATCAGGCCAATCTAATGCATGATTAACAAATACTGACAGGCCGATCTGTAATGGGATTGACAGATATTATCAGGCCAATTTAAAGCATGATTGACAAATACTGATCAGTCAATCTGTAATGTGATTGACAGATATTATCAGGTCAATCTACAGCATGATTGACAAACACTGATAGGCCAATCTACAGCATGATTGATAGATACGGAATTATGGATAAAAGAAAATCTAAACTTACAACATCCTTGCAGCCCTTTTCTAACCAAGTCTGTCGATGCCAATCTATACCATCAGAACATCTATTCACTTTATTACACCATTTACACTTAAATGCCACATTCACATGGGTAGCACATTCACCACAATTATCTATTGTATTACATGCTGTAAACAGGAATTCACATATCAATAATTTACAATTCATTATGATTGTTGTTTAATTAATAACCAACACAATCTCAGATTATGCTCAACATGTTATAATTTTGAAAGTGGGAGAATTTGCTGAGTAGCATGGTATAATTTAACATATCCATATAATAGTCTTAATGAAAATTTAAACTGACTATTATGGCAAAAAATTGATAAAAACTAAACTATCATATCTTTGTATGATCTTTGTTATTTTGAAGATATATACTTCCCTTAAAGTTATTTCTCTTACAGAAATTGGACCAAGTAAATCCCCAGAAAATAAACTTAATAAACTTACTAGGTAATGGTGTTAAAATTATAACTGTTCCAGACTGAACATTTTCACCATTAAAAGCTACTCTGTGATATTCATAAATTGTCCTTCTTCGAATTCCTAAAATACAAAATAAGATTCAGCTTCCAACAGGCTAGAGTTTCTTTAAACAAATGATACATAACATAAACATAAATATGAGCACATCCACAGCTTTAACACAGAAGAATAAAGGTCACTGTGCCAATTTAAGACATATAATTATGTGACAATAACTATAAAGCTTTAAAGAAAAATTGATTGAAAGTAAAAGACATAGCCTTCAGAACTGAAAAGAGAGAGTCCAACAGAAAAACAAGATTTACTGAATGTTTTCAATGCAGAGCATTTAATACATTATTTAATTTTTAAGAAGGCAAAACCTTAAAAATTTTGGTAATATATATTGAAAAACTTAAGATCTTGGTTTATTCAACAGTCAAAAGAAATCAGCCACAATAAAGATCACAACAAGAGCCACACGTGGCACAGATTGGGACTTAGCTTATGTGGCAAATTGTAAGAGACTCTGAAAAAATCAACTTTCTAGGTTAATTAGGTGACGTGTCAGAACAGCCTAAAGTTACAACATTTTAGGTAAACGTCAGATGTCAGAAATTAAAGTATCAGCGAACAGCGAAAGTCAATGATATTTGACCTTGTAAAGGGGTCAAGGTCACAAGATATAACTCATCAACTTTTCAAAATGCATACGGCTACAAAACCGGAAGCTTACGTAGGACATCAAATATGAAAGTATATTTAGAAAAACAAGATCAATGACCTTTGATCCTACAAAAGTTAAGGTCAACAAAGGTCAATGTCAAAAATTGAAAACATACACTAAGCTCAAAGAAGCACTTTAAGAATCTGAAAAAAAATAACTCTCTTGGCTGTTATTTGACATCCAAACCGGAAGTAGATATCAGAGGTCAAATATGAAGTATCAGCTGATAGCCAAGGTCAATGACCTTTCATCCAATAAAGGTCAAGGTCATGAAAGGTCAAGGTAATGAGAAATGAGCTTTTAAACTTTCAAAATTTTCAACTGGAAATTGCAAAAAGCACACTTGTTTATTTTATGTGTTCTTTCATTTGACAACAAAAGTCATTATCTCTGAATAGATTTTGACGCATTTAAGGAAAATAAAAATGGCGACCAAAGTATCACGTTCAGAACGGATTTTATCTTCATCGTTTTTTTGTCATAACCTTGGCTATCAGAAGTAGTTCGACATAAAGTGAGAATCAATATCCTGTTTAAACCGGAAGTAAAGGAAAAAATTTGACTGTACCATTTTGTTAATTTTCTTAATCTGTCTTTGCACAAAAAAAAAAAAGTTAATCACACAAAAAGCTAAAAGGTTATTTTTTTTTGTCAAAAATTTCAAATTTCAACTGAAAAAAGTGTGTGACAAATTTTGAAAAAATTGAACTGCTATCAGATCAGATATCATATGCAGATTCTGAAAATGAAAACCCAAAGACCCAAAAATACGACTTATAGAGCCGAATTGACATAACAAACTGGGACACAATAACATACCTTTTTCTTTAAAATAAGTATCAATATAAAAAGCATCTGATAAACCAATTTTAACTGGATGACTGGAATCTGAGATCTCATTTATATTAACAGGTATCTACAAACAGACAATTTTAATGTCAGACATCATTTTCAAACATTGTTTTGTGTTGTTCTATCTCTGTGCACTCATTTAATGAAGGACGGATATTATTGATATAGGACATTTGTATTTTGGCTGTTTAACACTTTGTTTGGAGAAAAACATGGATGTCAATTCTCTTCATGATACAAAACTTTTTGACCTTCTTAGCAATAGTTAAAATATCAATCTTTCTGGTTGTTTCTACCCCCAACAACTTGTTTCAACTAAACCAAAAACTACTTACTGTCTTATATAAAAACTTAATTGTACCGTCTTTTGCTAAAATAACTTCAAATTCAAACGGCTCAGCTGTAACAAGAAGGAAAACATTTCATTGATAATAAAGGAAGTTATATAAACTCATTTATACAGCATTTACACATTCTATATAATCCTTTTCTTGAGGAAATACAGGTCATTATTACAAAGGGAATCATTGCTTTCAGACTCATAGAAAATACAATAAGAACTGAACAATGACACACAATCAGTCAAATCAAAGGCAACAATTGAATAAAATAAGTTGCTTTAACCCACAGTTGGGGCAAATTTTGATTCAACTTTCATTTTCCATTTAGTTTAATGCTCAAATCTGAAAAAAAGACCAATTGACATATTGATAAGCTGATAATTTGTTTTTAAATCATTGTTAAATTGAAACAACAATATTAACTATCACAAGTTATATATCAAAGAAATCCTTATCCATAAACTGGTGACAGATAAAATAAACTGAATTTCATTTATTGACAGTCTCAATTCATATTGGAATATGATATTCATCATTAGTATAAAAATAAATTTTAATGGATGTAAAAGAGTCTATAATCTTAGCAAAAGAAATAGTTGATGAAATGTGAAACATGAATATGTGTGAAAGAAGAGTTAAATTCCCATTAATAATCTATTGAGAAGCACCATGAAATTCTTTAAGTATTATTGATTTCTATAACAAGGAAGATACAGTTTTTTTTTCTTCAGACTTCAAGAAGAAATCCTTTAACAATCACACATATTGATGAAATTTATATGGCATAGAGAGGTTTAAAGAGATAAAATATAGATTTATAGTCTTTGATTCAATCTCCTAAATTAAAAATATGAAAATTATCAACACTGTCAGGAATTTAAAAAATAACTTGTTAAAAAAAGCAGAGTGCAATACATGCAAAATTTAAAGATTTTATTTTAGGAGCGCTAATAAATAAAATTTAAAGATAATGCAAGTATGAAAGAAGCATAAACTTTACTATACCTAGTCTTTAACATTATCAGAATCATTATACTTACTGATATTCTCATCGCCTAATTTAACTGATTTCCACTGTACAATAAAATTATCATCTGAAAAATATTTACTAAGGTTAATAACAATGTACAAATGCCTTGTTGACAGTAATTTTTTTCTACCTACAATAATTTTCTTGTTAACCTGTCTAATAGAAAATTTATCACTTTTCATAAACATCTCAAAATTAGAGAGAATTGCTTCAAACTCTCATTATGTTATAATGCTTTAAATATACTCTTAGAGGCAATACCATTCTAGAAGCAAATAACAGACTGAAAAATTATTTTACTTTTTTCAAATGCAATGAATTGACACAGAATTCAAAGTTAGAATACACATTTCCCAAAAGTTTTGCTTTATTTCATGCTCTTGAAAGTGAGTACAAAAACAGTATTTTGTCATGCAAGACTTGAAATAAACAGAATTTGCATGTCCAGGAACTGATCACAATTGTGTAGCATAATTCACAATCATTTATCCATAACCAATTTTGACAGCAGACTTTTTTTCTGACAAAACACACATATTCCACATGTCACCCATTATAAATAAACGAAATTGAAATCAAAACATTCGAAACTTACTATGAGACCTATAACTTACTAAATTTTGGAAAACAGAAAGAAATGAATAAAAGGTTTTACTTTAAATATGATCCTTGCAAAAAAGTTCAGAAAAATCTGAATTTTTTTTTTGCAGTATTTGATAGTACATTCAGCAGTTACAAAACTCTTAAGCTTAAATTTTTGACAACCATATTGATTTTAAAGGTTTTGAATGGCATTTTGTGAGTATGATATATAGACACAGCTTTATGGAACAACAATCACTGTTTAAAGTTTTATGCAACTTTTTGACGTGTTTCCCACGTCGTCCTCAGGCACTGAGTGAAAATCATACTGATTTTGTTTCTTAAACATCGATTTATGCGATATGAAAACAAATTTGGGAAGCAAAACATGTTTGAATGTAAATATTATATCTGTAAATCTTTATCAAATCACACAATCTGACACAGAATGTAAATATTTAATTATACAATAATCTTACCATAACTATCATAATATATAGCTGAGTTTTCACCACCTTTTCTTGTATCAAAATTAGCCATCAATGGGGCGATATATTGTGTTGCTGTTAACCATTGATGCAAGAATGGACTTGTGTACAAGAATCCTGAAAAATAATCACAATCTTTTATGCAAAATCTGAATCTAAACCCGTTGGCTTGAAAGTGAAGAAGTAATTTGATTTATAAACCTTAACCTGTACATCTTTGAAGTATATATCCATACTGATTTGTTGAACTAAAACTGTACATCTTGGAAGTTAACCTATATTGATTTGTTAACCTTGACCAATTCATTTTGGAAGGAAATCTGTAAGCTTATTGATTTGTTCTGAACCTGTACATTTTGAAAGTAAATCCATAATGAATTGTTGACCTTAACCTATACATCTAGCAAGTAAATCTGTAATGACTTGTTGACCTAAACCTATACATCTAGCAAGTAAATCCATAATGACTTGTTGATCTTAACCTATACATCTAGCAAGTAAATCCATAATGACTTGTTGACCTTAACCTATACATCTAGCAAGTAAATCCATAATGACTTGTTGATCTTAACTTATACATCTAGCAAGTAAATCCATAATGACTTGTTGACCTCAACCTATACATCTAGCAAGTAAATCCATAATGACTTGTTGACCTCAACCTATACATCTAGCAAGTAAATCCATAATGAATTGTTGACCTAAACCTATACATCTAGCAAGTAAATCTGTAATGACTTGTTGACTAAACCCTGTACATTTTGAAAGTAAAGCAATAATGAATTGTTGACCTTAACCTATACATCTTGCAAGTAAATCTGTAATGACTTGTTGACTAAACCCTGTACATTTTGAAAATAAAGCAATAATGAATTGTTGACCTTAACCTATACATCTAGCAAGTAAATCTGTAATGACTTGTTGATCTTAACCTATACATCTAGCAAGTAAATCCATAATGACTTGTTGACTAAACCCTGTAAATTTTGAAAGTAAAGCAATAATGAATTGTTAACCTAAATCTGTACAATTCAGACATCTCAGAAGTCAACTCATTTTGATTTGTTTATTTAAATCTGTATTGATTTGTTAACAAAACCTTATATACGTGTATCTTGGAAATAAATCTGCATTGACTTGTTAACCTAATGCTGTACATCTTAGAGGCGCAGAAGTAATCTAAACCTGTAAATATCATATCTTAATCTCATTTTATATCAAATATAACATCATAATTCAATATTCAAAATGGTATCCAGATGTTGATGAGGAATACACTGAAACCCGACAAAGTAAGGGAAAATATCTTAATATGTTATAATGGTGTTTGTAACGCTCAATGTTCTTATAACCTTGTATTAGTATGAAATAAATGAACTAAATGTAACAAGATATCAAATGTAACAGGTTTGAAATCATCCTAAATAAAATGAATGGAGTTTTTTATATGTGGATTTGAGCATTTGTTGTTTGTATAATATATTAAATGCAATTTGATTCAAATGTTTGAGTTTAATCTGACATAAGAAATATAGCATTGGCATATCAAGTTTCATCCAAGGATAATAATAACATTGGGTCACAGTTTACTACTTGAGCATTAGGCTTATAACTTATTCAAAAGTTTCAAAAATATGTGATATAAATATACACAAAGGGTGAATCCTTTAAGTAGTTTTAGGTGTGGCTGTTTGTCATGTGTATAAGCAATTAGTTTTGCTTGATCAGAAGCATACAGCATCAAATATTTAATAATTATGTAAAAAAAAAAATTACGTCCAATGACAAATTGAGCATGTATTTTATCTGTTAGTAAGAATGCACATAAATCTATGTTTATATATGTATATATTTATACTACTCATGATTTACCATTATGTCATAGCTATAACCATCAAACCACTGTTACGTTTCTTGTCATAAGAATCGATATGATATATATTTCTATTTTCATTGTTTCTATTTATAATTTTTGACCTTTGACTTCTAGTTCTTGTTTATAGCAATCTAGAAATTTGTTTTTTCTTGGCAGGAGTTCACAAAAATATTATTTTTGAATTACAAAAGAACAATGAATAATATTCCAAGTGAATATCAGGAGGGGTTTACAAACATGAATATCTTATCATAATCTGAAATGTCCCTTGACATGTATTTTATAGTATGAATCATATATTATGAAATATTTTCTCATTTATGATTGATATACTTCCTAGTATGAATAGTTCATTTGTGCTACCTAAGAATTGTCAAAATGTTGTTTCCAATTTCATGTTTTGATTTGTAGTTTGTATAGTAAGTATTTTGTATTTTTGTAGAAAGATGACAAGATGCTGTATATAGATTCTCACCTCCTATGTCACTTGACTGTTTTATAATACAGTATTTATCTATAATTATATCTAGGATTGGGTGTGGTTCTTATAAGTGTCAGGGTTTTGCATATTTAATCAATACGTCTTAGGCCACATGAGACCCGTGGCGGTACCAGGCTCTTGAGAATGGGGGTAAAAATAGGAGGCAGACTGACTGGATGGGGAAACAGGAAAACACTGATACTGAATTTAAAACAACACTGTAGTGTACAATGCTGTGAAAGGTCAAGGTGTTATCCACACAGTAGAAAATAGAAGAAGGGAATATCAGATGTGTAGGTATTGATATCTTTTTATTTACAGCATCTGTACTCCTGCATTGTACACTGCACCAGACACCTTAACTCATCATAACCTCAATAAATGACAATCACTTATTCCATAAATTAAGTTTAATATTATAAAACAGACTGTTTACCTCCTGTTGCCACGGTAACATTTGTGATATTATGACCATAGAAGCGGAATGGAAACTTTAAATCTATAGTCTGAAAAATAACATTACATAATAATTAACAATACATTATAAGCAACAAGTATTATTCACATGAAAGAAATGAAAATTGGCTCAAAGAGGAAAGAACTTTATTAAAAAAGAAATAACAACACATAAAATCTTGAGAAGCTCTTGTTTGGTTCCAGAATGATCTTCTGGACATCTATTTATGTCTAGATTGTAATATTTCTCTATAAATGTGTCAGACAACATCAGCTTAAAGTAATATTAGATTATTATTAATATCATCAGGCTGTGAATGTAACCAAAATTGTAGACAAACTTCATCATGGATAAAAATAAGATCAAATTCAAAGCCCATAAAAGACTGTTTTCATTTCTCAATTCTTCTGTTTCAAATCTACAGAATCTACAGATTTACTTGTGCTAAACACAGCATTATCATATAATATATTCATTCAGTGATATCCTAGCCTTACTTATTACATGGCATCAAATAATGATAGTTTCTTCGCATGCATGACAAATATATCAAAATAATCTTACACATAGTAGAATAGTCATTAGTGTTCACCTATCACTGCAGTTCTATAAATTTTTGAATAATGCAGAATGACTAAGGATAATATAAAAAAAATGGAATGTATTGAATGGAGGTTTGAGTCCTACTTTTCTACACCATGTGGACTAATGAAGATGTGCAGGGTGGGATGAGGGAAATTTTGCCTGAACAGCGGCATTAGCCTTTTTTTCCCCATTTCCATGAACAGCCATGAGGCACACAGGCCTCAGTTTATTGTCCCATCAGAATGACTAGACGCTTTTCTCATGTCAATCCCTTTACTCTCATCACTGATGGAGAAACCTAGTTGAAAAATCTGAAGGTATCAACTCGACCTATGCTGGGATTGAACCCTGACCCTTCAGGTTAGCTAGCAAGCATCTAACTCACTGAGCCACCACGGCTCCCTAGGATAATGTCACATTTATATAAGGATAATGTCGAATTCATATAAGGATAATGTAGAATTTATATAAGGATAATGTAGAATTCATATAAGGATAATGTAGAATTTATATAAGGATAATGTAGAATTCATATAAGGATAATGTCACATTTATATAAGGATAATGTCGAATTCATATAAGGATAATGTAGAATTTATATAAGGATAATGTAGAATGACTTACCACTGCAGTTCTATAATTTTTGGATAATGTAGAGTGTTGTCTATTAGATGGTAAATCAATCCAATGATTATCAACTTCGTTTGGTATAATTTTAGAGGAATAATAACTATGTGAATCCTGAAAAACAAATGGCACACTAAAGACAATGTAATATATTTAGATTGTTGTCTTCGGGCAAGATTTGTACAAAAATAACAATTCTGGTTATCATTAATTTAATCAATAATAAGCTATTAGTCTATGTACAGGTCATTAAAATTGCAATCCTCAAATAATACTTTTGGATTTTTAATTTCTCAGTATAGATCAATAAATACCAATAAAAATATACAACATCAAAAGCATTCTTTGAATTATAGGAGGAATCAAAATATTCAGAACAATTTATTTTACTTAAAAAAAAACATTTTATATTCTGTATTATGCAAATTGCATTTTTCCTCAAGAATTCATGATAAGAAAAGAAAGTATTACATATTAGACTATGACAGTTAAAACAAAGCATTTGGCAGAGTGGGACTTAATCTATGTCCCACAAACTTTTATATATTGAAACACTATAGGCCATTCAAATACAATAAACTCTTACCTCAATAATTTTTGATTTAATAGTACTTGTTGGTGTATTAGAATTTGCTGTGGTCGTAGTTTGGGGTTGAGGCTTTTTAGTTGTTGTCTTTAAATAAAAACAATAAAAGTGTTCATATGAATTATACCAACCATCAATATTTAATATCAAAGTATAGCATCAATGCTCTCATCCAATGTGATTAATATGCTCTAAGCTTGTATTATTCACTTTCATTAGCCGTGTTTAGACAGCGACAAATTATCTGGGCTGATTCCAGACCGAGTAAGGTTCAGCAGAAAAAGAATCTGAGTAAACCGGACTACTTTCAAGTAGTCCAGACCGAGTATGGCACTGCAAAATATCAGCATAGTGTAAACGCGCCACTGGGAGCCCTCTTACCCAAGGAGAAGTGTGCATGTGCAATAATGTGTAATGTCGTAATAGAATACATTGTGTTTGCAATGGCTTGCCCAGTCGATATTCATAAAAATTCTCTTTCTTTGTCTCTCAAAAACAAAATATGAATTGTTTACGATGTGAACTTCAATATATTCGCCTTGTTTATGGTTGACAGAATTTTGAATTTTCGTGTTTTTTTTTGCCTCCACTAATAACAAGCTGAGTCTGGATCGAGTATGGACCACTTCAAGCAGACCAATTTGTATGTCATTGTAAATGCAGCTATCGATATATCAAATTTTATCAACATAAACCTCTTTTTAAAATTGTAAACAAAGAGTAGTCCATCATGGTCTGCTTGTGGATATTGTCTTTTGAATGATGGTGTAAATAAATGCATGTCTAACCCAGCTTCAAAATTCAACAGACAGGAGATCAACATCAAGACTATGTAACTACAATAAGCCTAAAATTATCACTGCTTAGTGGTTACCTGTTCAGGTGCTAGTATTGTTACTGGTGGTTGAGTTGTTTCTGGTGGTTTAGGTTCCGATGTAGTTGCCTCTGGTGGTAAAGGTGTAGATCCATTGGAATCTGAGACTTGACGACGAAATCTGTTGTTATGTAATAAATCATATTCTACAGCTGTATCAAGATGAGCTTGAGGAAAATCTACTTCAACATCTGAAATGGGATTAAAGAGAAAATATAACATATTTGTAAGAATCTGTGTTGATCCAGCCAACAAATCATCTTGTTAATCATTATGATCTTGTTTTAGTTCGAGGGGTTTGAATTTTCCTGTCTTATTTTATTTTTAGGCAATTTCATTTGAAAAAAGTACCATAAGTGAAACAAAAGAGCCCTTTCCATAGAATGTTATATCTTTGTCAGACAGAAAGTAAAAAAATTCAAAATTCAGCCGAATAAAGTGTGTTACCAATTTCAAAATTTTTTAAGTGCTATCATATCAGATATTACATGTAGATTCCAAAGATGAAAAATCGAAAAAAATCAACCCAAAATGGGACTTTTAAAACTGATGTTCTACTATTTACACATGTTAAACTGTGGCACTTACAGTTTTGCAATAAATTTCCAATTTATATTTATGCAACACATTGCCACTACAGAGGTCAAGGACAGTTGAATGGTTGCTGCAACTACTGCAGACTAAGCACTGGAAGGTGTGTAAATTTCGAGAAAAAAAACAATTAAGTGAGTGACTGTTTCCGTTTATTCCTATTAATATTAATTACCTTTTTGATATAAAATCATTGTTTTCACAATTTTAATCCAGGACAATATATAAGACAATAAAATGGATCTTCTATTGGAAATCTATTTTGGTTACTGTAATGAACATTATATTGTTTATTTATAATTTCAAATACTTGAAAGGTAAATTTCATAAAAAAAACATGGATTAACAGGGGGAAAATTGATTTTTTTTCTTACAGGCAGGAGAATTTATCATTCCATCCCAAGGACAAAATTTATCATCTGTTGTTTGTCAGATAACAGAATGAAGGTATTTATGTGATGTTTTTTCACACAAGAGTTGATACTATGGTGATAACTATTACTAATCAAAGCCCTATAATTCAAGGTAATTTGATTTACAAATTCATTGATGTCTTTTTGGCAATTAAAATGCAGTATTGTACTTTCTGTATGGGGCCAAATTAACTCTCAACTTTCTATCAATTTATAAAGAAGTGAATCTGCAGTGGGAATCTTTCATGAAAGTGCATTAATCTTAAAGTTTCTTTAAGCCAGTTTCAACAAACCAAATAAGAAGAACTGAAAATGTCAGTGAAATATGCATTATATAATGATTCTGCGAGTATATTGAATTGAAAGATAAATTAATTCTAAGGAAATTCACTGATCTAAAAGTAACTAAGTTTGATTTCCAAATCAAATCATTTCAGGTCTACTGGCGTAAGTGAAGCATTCAGTAAACTGATGAAAATAAGAATTCCTTATATCTGGTATCCGATCATAAAACAATTCCTGATATAACTTTGATGATTTATATCGACTGGTTAAAATCAATATGTCTCACCGAAACATTTTCAATAAATCACCAGATATTGTTTTGACATTTATAAGGTTTTGAAGATCCTATGAGGATTAAAATATGATATTATCTTGTAAACTTTCTCTCATTTACTAATCAATAATATCCACCATTTTATTATTTAGATAGTCTTGTGACTGTAAAACTCCAGGCTAGCTATTGTACAATGAAAATTCAGAACTGGTGTCAATGTCTTATTTCAGTTAGTTGGCTGCATTGAAAAAGACATAAGCTTATACCCAATTTCAACTACTATGTATGTGTTCAATAAGAAAATGTGAAAAATTAGTCCGGGCCAAAATTAACAAAGGTTTCTAAACTGCTGTTATGGTATTGCATGTTCAAAGATTGCTCAACAGTTGTAAATCAAGCTGAAGTTTCATGCCTTTACGAAATCCATCCGATTTAATACTCTTGCATTATCAGAAGGAATCCTTTTATTTCTTCAGAATTATCCTATCATAACTACAGTAGTATATTTATCTGTCATCTAGAAGATATCAAAGTTGATATCATAATGTATTTGACAGAGATGGTTCATGTGTAATACTTTTTTATAATATAATGTAGAATATAGGGTCCCTTTATTATTCAGTTAAAAGTGTAAAGTGTTAGATAATATACACATCCTGGGTGTTTAACTTTATAAATATCACTAATATTCACAGATCTATCTGTACATCCCATTATGTTATTCCATCAATTATACAAATTTTTGACTATATTCATTCTTGTGTTTATTCATTAGAACTAAATTACAAAATTCCTTCCAAATGTCATATGG